TTAGAAGGTTCCTATTAGATAAGATAGTAGTAAGGGTAAACTAGTGAATAAAGTTAGTTATTGCTGTTCAAGGATTAATATTAAGATTAAAATATCATTAGTTAGAGGTATTAGTAGGAGGAGTAGAGAGGAATTAAGAAGGGGTGTATAGATAGGTAGTCCAAGAGAGATATCAGTTAGGAGTGGAGTAGGAGTTCGTGGTCTATCTCATAGAGGAAATTGTACTTAAGTAGTATTCTCGTTATAAGGAATTAAAGTAGATGAAAAAGTTGTAGCTTGGTCTAGGTCTGTTAAGTATTCACTAACTACAGGGCTATATTCAAAATAGTCAAAGCTACTAGTATATTCATTAGAGATAAGGAAACCAAGATCACCTAGAGCTTCTTCTGGAGTTCTATTTAAATAAGAATTGAGAGTAGGGGTACTAGCTGGGAATTCAATATAGGTATCAAAAGCTATAGCTTCAAAGCCAAAAGAGAGATGAGATTATAGGGTGTATTAAGTATATTTAATTAGGAGGATTTCAATAATATTTTTAGAGTTTTCTATAGGGGTATTATATCGGCAACTAAATATTATATCATATGCTGCTACTCTGGCTCTGGAGTAAATAGAGCTATTAGTTAATTCTAGATGTGCAGTTGCTGTTTGTTGAGAATAGGACTAGGTATAGTCAGTGTTTAAAATTGGCTTGCACAAGATACACATGTACAAGTATTTTTTTTTTTGTATATAAAAACTTAGGTAAGTAAATGCAAATGTGTGTATTTAAAATTAATTTAAATAATTGCACAAAAAGATAATATGCAACTAGAATTAAAATTTTTATGCACAAAAAATAATGTGCAACAAGAATTTAAAATCTTAATATACAAAAAATAATCAAATAATTATATTTTATTTTTCTTTTTAGAAGCTTTAATATAAACATTAAAATTTATTTTTGGTGATTAATTGTAATATTATCTTAATTATATATAGCTAATTATAATAGTAGCTACATAGTATATAGTATTATACAAGACTAGTACGATCAGTATCAGTAAAGTTTATAATCTTGCAATTCGATAACAAACTACTCATTATAAAAAATTAAATTTTTTTTATTAAAAACATCTTATTAATGATAATAATAATAATTAAAAGTTATTAAATATTGATTATCTGTTTTTAATTACTAAAAAAGATTATACTACAGAATAAGTATAAGTTCAGTTATAGTTATAACTATTTAGTCATGATTATTAACTATAACTAATACTAGTAGCTTGACTAATTGATATAACTACTAATAATCAGTATTTTGAATATAATTTTTATATACTCATATTTTTCTCACACCAATATGATAGTATATAAGTATGTCATATTATTTTAACTTCTACTAGAAAACTATTACTTATACAAAAAAAGGATTTTTTAAAAATTAGTATTGTAAATATCAAAAAAGTTAAACAGAAACTATCCTTTAATATTTCGTATTATATATTCATATGATTGTACTAGTAAAAAAAGTTTGAAATAGCTTAAAGCATTTTCAAATATTAGTTTAGATTTGAGATCGAAATAGTACTTAATAGTTATAATATAATTTTAATTTATATTAAAAAATATACTTAAAATAGCTTTAAAAACTAAATATAATTTTTTAGTGCATAATCAAAATAGCGTTTAATAATTATAATATAATTTACTATTTATAAAATAAAAATCATTAGTACAAATAAAGATATTATTAAAGCATACTCATACGTATTAAAATTTTTAACACATTTCTAACTTATTTTAGCTTATTAATTGAGGCATTTGAGATTGAATTTGGTATTTATTATAAGATTCAATTAGGCTATATATAAAAAGACTATTGTTTACAAAACTCTTACATATGTGTATAATTTTTGGTAAATATGTAACTATATAAAGTTTTTTTTAAGTTGATAGTCAACAGATCGAAAGTAGTGATGCATTTAATAATTATATCGTATGCATACAGTTCTTTTTAAAATTTTAAAATATATTTGTTATATTTTACTATATTTGAAGATTAATTTAAAAATAAAATCATGATTTATTAACAAGAACCAAAACTTGTTTATAAATTTTATACTACATACTTGATTTATTTCTAAAAGATTAGCTATTTTAAACTAAAAAAAAAATAAATCTTATATATAATAAATACATATATACTTATTATATATAATTCAAAAAATCGTATCTCTTTTATAATTTTTTTAAAAATGTCACAAAAGAAAAATGAAAAAATAAATCAATTTATGATTTTTTTAATTCAGAAACTAACAAAAGAAAAAAAAATTCCTTAGATATAGAAACACTTTTAAGTTCTGAAACAAATACTGATATAGATACAATTACTGAAATGAATCTTGAAGCTAATAAAAAAAATCGACTTGTCAAAAATAATTTAAAATTTAATTTAAAATAGAAAGATGAATTTGATTGGTTATATTATGAAGAAAATGAAGATAGTGATAAAATGTTTTGTACCTTATGTGAAGCTACAAAAAAAAAAAAAATTTACACAAGAAGGAGCTAATTGGTTAAAGTATGATATTTTAGTTCATCATGCAAATACACAAGATCATAAAAAAAGTTTACCTATTGCGTATAATCAAACAACAATAGAATATGGATTTAAACAATTAATTTCATCTGATAAATTAAAAATTATTCAAAATATACAATATGTTTACTTTTTAGCTAAAAATCATTATGTGACTCATGGATTAAAAGATTTAAAAAAATTATATGAATAACAATTTGATGAAGAAAATCAAGAAGCTTTATTCAGACCACTCATAGTTTAAAAAAGGCACAAGATATTATTGCTGATTCTCCTGTTACATTATATTCAGAATATGGCACTTATGATAATGATATTTCTGCACGTAAATTTATAAAAGCAATTTCATTTGTTATAGAAGAAAGTTTAATTAATGAAATTCAAAACTCTCTATATTGGAGTATTCAAATTAATGAAAGCAATATGATTAAACAAGAAAAAATATTAGCAATTATCTCTAAACATTTATCTGATAATTATCTAATTACATATTTTTTAAGTATTATTCAATTAGATAATGCAGTTGCAAAACTAATTGTTGATAGTATTAATCAATTTTTGTTAGCAAAAAAACTTGATTTAAATAATATATTTCATATAGGAAGTGATAGTGCAAGCACAATATTAGGTAATTTTTTTAAATTATTAAAATAGGCTATGTATACAAAATTAATTTTTTAAAATTTATTACTATATAGTATTATATAGTACTTTTTAATTTATTCTGTTTTTGTAAAAAATTAAAAAATACTATATAGTATTATATGATAAGTTGTAAGCTAAAAATTAATTTTTTTAATAAATTATTTTATTAATAGGAAAAAATAATGGTGTTGCTGCTATTTTTAAAAAACAAAATCCATTTCTTTTAGAACACTATTATATTTCTTATCGATTAGCTTTAGCAGCAAAAGATGCTACCAAAAATGTTTCTTATTTTGAAAACTATGATTCAATTATTAATCATTTATATTCTTATTTAGTTCTTCTTATAAATAAATGATTAATCTTCAATTAATAGAAAAATGATTAGGAGATCCTAATTTAGTTTTTTTTCAAGTAATTAATACTCGATAGCTTTCACTAAGTAATATTGTATCTAATTTGTATCGAATTTTAGATTCTGTAAAAGTAGCATTAGAAGAAGATTCTTCAAAAAATATAGTAGCCTATGGACTTTATAATATGATGGATCAAAATTTTTACTTAGCTATAAAGGTAAAAAAAATTATATATAAATACTGCTAAAAGAAAATATATTATCAGAATTTTTATTATATTTTGTACTCAAGACAATCTTTAATAAGCTATATAAATAGATTGCAAAATCTGATAACAGTTTTCTCTTAACAATACTTATAAAAATACTACTAAAGAAAAATTCATCATAAAAGTTTCTATTATATTTTATATATAGTAAGCTATTTATATAAAATTTATTATTATGATAGATTTTCTATAAATAGTCAACTATACTTAAAATATAATTGAAACTCCTATGACAAGTCTTTCTTTGACAGCACTCATACATATATTCTTTAAATAAATAATATATATTAATATATATATATATATTTTTAGTTTCTTGCTGATATTCTTTATGATTTACAAAGCTTAACTAATCTTTTTTAAGCTAAATATATTACTATATCAGAAGTTTATATATATTTAAAAGCTATTATTGATACTATTACAACTCAATATATTGGACATCATGGAATTTTACAAATTATAGAAATTTTTTAAAAGAATATATAGATGAGCAAGAAATATTACCTAATGATCTCCCTGATTTTATTTCACAGTTTGCTGTTACTACTATTGAATCTCTTCAAAATCAGTTTCCTAACTCAGAAATATTAAATGCATTATGAATTTTTGATCTACATGAATTGCTATCACAATATAATCAAGTTTATTCTTATAGTGATAGCGAAATCAAAATTTTAACAGAGTTTTATAGAAATTCAAAAATATTTAATCAAATTCAAAATTCAGCATTTATTGATAGTAGCTTACTAATCAAAGAATAGAATCTTTTTAAGTATAGATTATTCAACTATCGGGATAGCAGATTAACTTTTGTATAGAAAGCTCTTCTTGATTATTCTAACTTTTCTTCTCAGTTTCCAAATATTAAAAAACTTGCATCAATTTTTTTAATTACTCCACTTTCTAATGCAGTAGTTGAGAGAGTTTTTTTTTATCAAAACTTAATTAAAACAAAATCTCAAAATCATCTTAATGTTTCTACATTACATATGTTACTTTTAATTACACTTAATAGACCAGATAGTGAATTATTTGATTAGGAAAAAGCATATAATTACTAGATGACAAAAAATAGATGTATTTAATTAGTTTTATTAAATTTGAAAAAAATAGAGATATGATAGTATTTTTATTTCAATTTGTTTTATATAAATATAAATTTTAAAATAAATATTTTATTTGAGATTTAAAAGGTATATTTGATAGTAATGTTATATCATATTACTCAATTTATTATAAATATCTTCAAAAGCGTTTAAATAATTATATATTATTATATATTAGCAATAGAATTATTAGCTTTTATCTATTTAATTAAGTTTTAAATTATTTAATTTCTCAAAATTACTATTTTGTTACGATCTAGCTATACAATAATTATATAATTATGCTAATAAAATCATAAATGTATAAAAACTAAAAGCTAATTAGCAATTACTATATTAAATTACAAAATAATTATTTAGTAGCCAAATTACAATATCTATTAGTTTATTAATATATGAATATACTGTAGTAAGAAGTCTTAATTATATACAATAACAAAGTATTAATTTATTTATTATCTGTATTAATTTAGTTAATAGTTTAACTTCTTATTCTGCACTAATTTAGTTAATAAGTTAGTCTCTTTTAGTTTAGCGCTAAGAAAAAAAGTTTAATTTTTGTGTAATAGTGATCTCCTTTTAAGATTAAGATATATGTATATAGCTTAACGCTACTAGCTAAGAATTTATTAATTGATTAATAAGGGAAAGAGATTTTCTATACTAGGAAATTTTGGATTACACAAGTAAAAAC